CAGGACTTGATTGATTGCTCCTTTCTGATTCTTCCTGAAAAAAAAAAAAAAAGGAATAAACGTAAAGCCTTTTCCTCAGGCTGTGGATCAGATTACTTTCCATTTTTGGTTATTTTCAGGTGGAGGTGCTTAGGATCATGTTATACAAACAATACATAAAATGTTTGCATTAGGGATGAAGATGAATTGCTCTATTAGGATAAAATATAAATGAATATGTATTTTAAAATCCTGTATGTCAAAAATATCATGGATAAATTTAAAAGAAAAATTACAGACTTGAAAAATTATAACACACACAAAATATGAAAGTTTGTTATCCTTATACAATGAACTCTTGCAAACCAATAAGAAAATGACAAAAAATAAAACAAACAACAAACAACAACACCAAAAAAACACATGCTTCAATAGAAAAATGGTAAGGAATAAGGAAAGGCAATTCCCAAAAGAAGAAATTGAAATGCAATAATCAATTAGATGAAATTCAACCTCACTGAATGAAGTAGAGAATGCAAGTTAAATACAATAAAATACACAGGGGCATATTCAGGTTTTGTGAAATCCGAAACAAAAAAATATGGGAACTGCGTCTTCAAAATTGTGATTTCTAAATTAAGTGTGAATATTTTTTGAAATAAGTAAATAAATCACAGGAAACTATAATGTTTCAAATGTTTTTTAAAAAAAAACCCACAAATGTCACAAAAGCCAGAAAAAATAGCATATTTTTATTAACTAAGATCTGTTTGTAACATTTTTTCCCATATTTTCCAGATGCCTATACTTTCATCATTTCTTCATTTAACAATTTTATATTGCTATTTTCTGTAGAGAGGATAAAAATATAATTCAGTATTTGTCCTAACATAGTTTATTGAACTATATTTCTTCTTAGAGTTGAGATTCATAACACATATGACTCCACACGTAGATTTGCTTGCTGTTTGTAACACTGCCATATGTTTGTGCTTTATAAGTCAGACATTCTAATGTTCTCTTTCACATCATGCCCACCAAAAATGTTAAAAAATAGATGCAATGCATTTGCAGTGGTGTATACTGCATTATTGAGTGCACTCCTGAAAGAAGAGAACGATTTTGACTAGGTACAGATGAGAACTGAACCCTCCACTCATAATTTTCCACAACGGATGACTGGAGGAATGCGTACAGACTAGATGCTGACTTTGTGCATTTCCAACTGTTTCCCTTCTACTCTCCAAGCAGTTCCAAGGCCAAGGTTGCAGGACCCGATCATAGTATGATAAAATCTTTAGCTCTACCTACAATGTTGTGAAGCTGGGTGAGTTGACACAGTGAGTGGTAGGAGTGTTTTGGGGAGCCATTCCTCGGTTGGGGAGCAACCATAACAAAAAGGGACACGGAAGTAATTGTAGCTCCATATATGTGTCCCACCAAACTCTAACTAAATGTATTTTCAATTCAATTTTATCGTAGCCAACTTCCAAAAATGCCTCCAGCCACTTGGATAACACTCAGCACAAGGAGAAGTATGATTGAGAATTAGAAGAAACAGCTGCCTTAACAGATTTTAATGAAAATGTTTAATTTTGCACATTTTATTAAAGACATCTAATCATGTTAATATACTGCTAGGGTCATTCCCGGGGTCCTAATTAGATGCCCTAAAACATATACTTTATCTTCATGGTAAATCAACTCTGGGTGTAGGTACACTTGATGTTGAGTTTCCATATCAATGTCAATACTTAAGACAAAAATTTGTATACGTAAAAAATTATTTATATGGCGTATAATGATCTAACACAATGAGCTTTTCCTCAGGCTGTGGATCAGATTACTTTCCATTTTTGGTTATTTTCAGTTGAAGCAGTGGAGGTGCTTAGGATCATGTTATACAAACAATACATATGTATACCATATTGTCTGGAAACAGCAGAGCCACCTCTCTTAGTATCATCAGTGCAGGGCATCTTCTCATGAAGTTATGAAGTGAAAGGACAGGCAGAATTTCTGGAATATAGGCCATTTTCCCCTTTCTCTTTCTCTCCTGACCCCTTAGTACATAGAGTTTAATTCAAGTAAGTTATTGATTGTATGATGAGACCTTACTATACCATATGTAACACTCACAATTTCCAAAAATTGGAGCAAACATTTCTTAAACTTCTTGGGAATGTATTTAAGCATCACGCATCAAAAGCCCCCCAAAAAGTTCATACCCCTAAGATTCAATTTCCAGGAATTTATCCTAACTAAATCATTATGAACATACTAAAATATGTAGCTACAAGTGTGTTCATTGTTACATTATTTATTTTTATTTTTTTAATTGTTAGAGATGGAGTCTTACTATGTTGCCTAGACTGGACTCAAACTCCTGGGTTCAAGCAGTCCTCCTGCCTCAGCCTCCCAAGTAGTTGGGATTACAGGTGCAAGCTACCATGCCTGGCCCTAGGTTTTTAAACAGTAAAAAATGGAAATAATCTGTTACTATATGGTCAATGATATGGCATTGTTTAAGTTAGTTATAGAATATTTACACAGTGGAATACAACACATGGATTCAAATGGCAATGTGAAGAAATATGAAAGATCTACCTGAAGAAAAAATTAAACGCTATTAAGAACACAGAAGATAATTTGTGTAAATGAAAATAAATACCCTGCTCTTGGATAGAAAGAAAAATATTGTCATGATTAATTATTAATCTAAAAATTAACCTCATCTCAATTAAAAATAACAATCAGAATTATTAAAAAAGAAGATAATATGACTGTAAACTCTAATGAAAGTACAAATGGCAAGACTATCCAGAAAAATTGTAAAATTACTCTATCCCTACTAAATAGTAAAATATATTATTAAAAACTGCAATAATTAAAATTCCTGGTAGTAATTCATGAGTGGATGTGCAGAAGTAAACAGAGTCTAGAAAAATTAGACTCTGATGTAAGAAGGAACAGGGTGTATGATAGAGATGGCCTTTCAACTTGAAGAAGAAAATGGTGGCTTGTTCAATAAATCTTATTAGGACAACTAGCTAACTCATACACTAAAATTAATTCCAAGTGGACTGTAAAATAAAAGATATAAAATTAAAATTTAAAATGTAAAGGCAGATGCAGAGAAACTTAATTTAAAATTTTTTTAAATTAAGAAAAATTTAAAAATATGTAGTTTTAGTAAAGGGGAGTCCAATAGTATATATAAGCTGATATGAAGCTCACAAGCAATAAAATATACATTAAAAATGACTACATAAAATTTTAAACATTTTGAAAAGAAAAAATGTCATAAATAATGTCCGAAGAGAAAATGACAACCTAAGAAAAACATTTCCATGTAGATGACAGTCAAAAGGCTTATTTCTCATATATAAAAATTTTAAAATAACAAATAAGAAAAAGGCCAATAAAAACATGGTTATCCACAACCACAGAGCTTCACATAAGATGTCATAGTAAAATATGTTTTCTGATTTTTTTTTACTTAGCTTTACTGATGTATAATTTACATACAACAAAACCTGCCAATGCTAAATGTAAAGTTTGATGAATTTCAATAAATGTTTGTGGTTGGTGATTGCCACAATTAGGATATAGAATTTTTCCATCACCCTAAACAGTTTCCTTTTGCCCTTTTGCAATCAATCTCCTTGCCCTACCCCCGACATCTAGGAACCACTATGCCCTTTGGGTTACTATGGTTTTGCCTTTTCTAGAATTTCATTAAAATGAAATTATATAGTATGAGTCTTTGTATCTGGCTTCTTATACTTAGCATAATGTGTTGAGATTTATCCATGTTGTTGCAAGCATAAGTAGTTAATTTCCTTTTTATTGCTGACTAGTAAATATTCCATTTTATGGATATACCACAATTTGTAGCAGTTGATGAACATTTTGGTTGTTTCCAGTTTGGAGCCATTATGAATAAAGCTACTATGGACAAGTCTATAGGGACATGTTTTCATTTTTCTTGGGTGAATATATCTAAAGAATGGAATTTCTGAGTCATATGTAAGTATACATGTAAATATAAAAGAAACTTGGCCAGGCAGGTGGCTCACACCTGTAATCACAGCACTATGGGGGTCAGAGGTTGGCAGATCACCTGAGGTCAGGAGTTCGAGACCAGCCTGGACAACATGGTGAAACCCTATCTCTACTAAAACACAAAAATTAGCTGGGCATGGTGGCACTCACCTGTAATCCCAGCTACTCAGGAGGCTGAGGCAGGAGGATCACTTGAACCTGGGAGGCATAGGTTGTGGTGAGCCGAAATCATGCCACTGCACTCCAGTCTGGGTGACAGAGCAAGTCAGTCTCAAAAAAA